CTCAGGACCCTCCACATCAAGGTCCCCCCCAAGGTTTCCTTTAGGGAGTGAAATGTCAACAGTTGGCAAGTTAAACTTTCCTCCTCTAACATCAGGACCCTCAAGGCTGATATCTACCTCTGGAGACTTCATCTTAGGGAGGGACATGTCACCTTTAATTTCAGGTCCTTGCATATCTACATCTCCCGCTATTTTTCCTTTTGGGAGTGAAATATCAACCTTGGGAATTTCGACATTGCCCTCTGGCAGCTTCATTTTCAGAAGTGAAACATCAAATGTAGGTGTTTTGAGTTTTCTTCCTTTTGCCTCAGGACCCTCAATACTGAGGTCAGCCTTGCCTTTGGGGAGAGACAAGTCAATGTCTGGCATGTTGATTTTTCCTCCCTTAAGCTTAGAGCCTTTGACTTTTCCTTTAGGTAGTCCAATATCATAGGATGGTATTTCAAAATTCCCATCTTTTCCAGAGTGAACATCAATGTCGATATCTCCCTTTGCTTTTCCTTTGGGAAACGAGAAGTTGATTTTTGGCATTTGAAATGTCCTACCCTTGACTTTTGGCCCTTGTAAATTCACATCTCCTTCAGGGATCTTTATTGCAGGAAGAGCGATGTCTGCAGATCGCAAGCTTAATTCACCACCTCTTCCTTCACCCTCAGCAGTGAATTTGCTTTGTGATGTTCCTGGTGGGGTTGAAATCTCAATAGTTGGCATCTTCATTTCCCCAGCCTTGTTGTCTGATCCCTTGATTTTGATGTCACCTTTCTTTGATTTAATTGTAGGGAGAGAAACCTCAACTTTCCCCTTTGGAAGAGAGATATCAACGGAGTGTCCCTCAAGTCCAATATTTCCCTCAGGCATCTTAATCTTTGGTAGTGACACATCTAAAGAAGGCGTGTTGAACTTTGTTCCTCCTTTAATATCAGGTCCTTGAATATTAACCTTTCCTTCCTTGTATTTCATCTTTGGGAGTGTTTTTTCAAAAGTTGGCAGCTTGAACTTGGCTCCACTACCAACACTGCTCTCTAACTCCATGTTGCCCCCCAAGTTTGCCGTGGGGAGGGAATAGTCAACATTAGGAAGTTTGGGGCATTCTAGGTTCAAGTCTCCTTCAGGTACCTCCACTTTTGGGAGAGAAATGTCTACAGAGGGCATATTGAATTTACCACCTTTGAATTCACTGATCCCAATGTTCAAATGCTCCTCTACGGTTCCCTTGGGAACAGAGATATCAACAGTGGGCATTTTGATCTTCCCACCTTTTATTTCAGGGCCTTCGATGTCCACCTCACCTGTCTTCATTTTAGGGATGGAGATGTCAAACGTTGGTAACTGAAATGCTCCTCCTCCTCCAACATCAGTTGTTCCAGTTTTGCCTTCAGGAAGTATCAGATCTACCATGGGTAACTTAAAGCCTTCTCCTTTAAAATGTACTTCTCCTTCTGGTGACTTCATCTTTGGAAGAGATATGTCAAACTCAGGCATTTTGAACTTCCCATCTCCACCAACAAAGTAATGCATATCTACATCGTCCCCCTCTGCTTCCACCTTTGGGAGAGCGATGTCAACAGAAGGTAGACCTAATTGTCCTCCACCTTCTGGACTTTCAATGTTCACATTTGATGGACCCATCTTTGGTAATGAGATGTCAACCTTTGGCCTGGAGATTTTGGGCCCTGTGAAAGTGCCCTCTACCTCATCAGGAATTCTGCATCCAGTGTCAAATTCCAAATCTACTTCAGGCCCAGAGATGTCCATGGCAGGCATTTTGATTGCTGTCTTCCCAGCTCCTTCGTACTTTGGGAGTGAAATCTTCATGTCAGACTTTCCCTTCACGTGTGGTAAAGAAATATCAAGAGAAGGCATTTCAACAGATGCAGCGTTTCCAGAGAGATCAACTTCCATCTTTGATTTTGAAATATTTGCCTCAGGGAGATTGATCTTACCACCTCCTTTGAGTTCTACTTTTGGAAGTGTAATGTCAGTTTGAGGCACATTCATACCTTTGGCTTTCACCTTAATCTCACCATCTATCTCATCCGAATGGCGTGAGAGTCTAACTTTTGGCAGTTTCAACTTTGGCATTCTTAGCTTTGCATCTCCGTTGCCTGAGTCTACATTCATTTGACCACTTGTAGCCTCTGCATCAGAGCCTCCTTTGATGTTGATCTTAGGAGCTTTGATTTTAGCCTCTCCCTTCACAGCGGGCAAAGATGCCTCAGCTTTTCCGGAAGGTAGTGCAAACTCCACATCAGGCGTATTAAGCTTAACTCCTCCCATCTCCATGTCTATGTTTTTATCTCCAGACAAACTAAACTCCACTGACAGTGGCTGGATGTTCACCCCAGGGGGCTTCAGCTCCACAGATCCAGTCTCCAATGCTGAGCCTGACTTTGTGTGTTTGCTCTTAGGGAAGTTGATTCCAAACTTGTGTCCTTTTACTTTGGTTTTCACTTTAGCTCCAGGTATCTCAGGTGGAGAGATGTTCACCTCTCCCTGGAGATGTTCTGTTTCCACTTTACCTCCTGTGATGTCCCCTGTGAGAACCTTTGTTTTCATGTGGGGAAACCTAGGAGAATGGAAGAAGAGAAGAAGAAAAAACACTGTGACATAGCACATTTTTTTAGCAAACATTCCAAAATCTTTTGTAAAGAATACTGTACTGTATAAAATAAGAATAGTCTTCCGATAATAATTTGATGATGTTTTTGAAAAAAAAACATGTATAGAATTGTGGTACCTTTGTAACTATTCTTTAGCCTCATAATGTTTCTAAACACCTACACAAGTTGGATCAGAGGGTCATTTTAACAATTTCAATATGAAAAGGACACAAACAAGGCCAACCTGATCCTCCTCTTGGCCTTCCCCTCAGCTGCTGCTCCCTCGGCTCCTTCTGCTTCAGCCTTAGTGCTCTTCCTCGGTTTGAACTTTGGGAGAGAAAACTCCACGTCTACGTCACTCATCTCCAGCGTTGTAGGCTGTCCCTCGATCACCAGCTCCTCTCTGCGCTTCTCCTTCAGCCTCTTCAGACCAAAACGCCCACCCCTCATCTTCTTGGCCTTGAACTGCTTGCTGCCCTTCACACTCTGATAAATCATAAAAGGTAAGAGGTTTCAGCCAAAGGCTTTCAAATTGAGTATGGTACTAACTATTAAGGCACTAGCTTTAGGTTGATCGATTGACAACTGAAATTGTTTGGAAAATACTTTTTTTTTAATCTAATTTGGGACTAGAAGATTGGACGAAAATGAAAATGACTCAATTGAGTTTAGAATTATAAATCAGACATACAGACTAATAATTAGGGCTGTCAACATTAACTCTCGTATTACATCTGGAAACCTTGATGTGTTCATTCTTTTTGTGCAAATGAATCATATTACCAAGTTAACCCCCAAACTTCCTCCCGCACAAATGTTTACCATGGATTACTTAGCAGAGATATGTATGTAGCCTATATAACATAATATAATTAAATACCATTTTGGCCACCTTGGCTTTGGGACCTTTGACCTCCACAATGGGAACACGAGGCCGTACGCAGATCTCTAATCCAGGGATGATCCTCTTCAGCTGGAAGCTGACCTTATATGGCTCGGCGCACTGAAGGATCTTCAGAGCGTCTTCATACTTCACGTTGTCAAAGTAGACCTTGGCACTCAGCAGCTGGTCCCCTTAACACAGAGAACATTTGAATTATTATGTCCAGTGTTCAAAATGTCCGTAGGGGAGTGGCAATGGTAGTAGCTAACCATTTGACCGTTTCATTTTACACTACAGAATGTTCACTGTAGGTGCTCATAAAGATGACAGGTACCTTCCTGGAGACTGAGATGTTTAGCAGCTGGTGAGTCTCTGAGGACATCTTTCACAAAGATCCCTCGCTGTCCTCCACCAGTCACACTGTAGCCGCTGGCTCCAGCCTCCGCCTCCGTCTCCACCACGATCTCCATGGATGGAGAGGCTTCTTCCACACACTAACACACACACACACACACACACACACACACACACACACACACACACACACACACACACACACACACACAC